TAGACTGAACAGTCTGAATGGAGGTTGTGAAGTATTTGAAGATATTATGGCTCTATTGCCTGTTGAAGCATTAACAGAGGATCCCTGGGTATCTTGCTTGCACCCTTACAGTTCCTGGCTTTGGAAATCCCACACGTCTGCTATCCTAACAATTCAGGGCGTGTTTCAACCTCTGTCTTGTTGTAAAGATATGGTTAAAAAGTCATTTTCAAGAAAGATTCCAGAGCCTGCATTTTATTAGGAGGAAGATCCCTCATTCTCTTAGCCATTTCTATCCATGTACATAATTCTATATATATTTACATCATGCCCACTTACTCATTATCCACTGGGGGTAAACAGCTCTACTTTTATTATCCACTGGGGGTAAACACCTTTCTTTATAGGAATGTTACTCAATTCTCTCAGTTCCTTTTCCTGTAACTTTTACAACTCTTGAACATCTTTTTGAGGTATGAGCAGGATTACAATACTAAAGATGCCACATTATAGGTTTGTCTAAAAATATTATATTGGGAGTTTTATTTTTCCAATAATTTCCAACATGTTATTTATAGGAATCATAGCGTGAATCAACATTTTTAATGTATCCACCATTACTCCAAGATCCCTTTCCTAGCCAGTCAGATATTGCCAATTCAAATCCCAATCACTATAACTGTGGTGAAAATTGTCTTGCAATGTGCATCTCTTTACTTTTGCTTATGTATTCGTAGGTTCCTTTGAGTCATTCTTGACTCCTGCCTAGACAAAACCATGCAGTTTTCTTGGCAAGATTTTTGGAAGCAGTTTGCCATTTCTTCCTAGGGCTAAGAGAGAGTGAGTGGTCCACCCAGCTGGCTTCATGACTAAAGCAGGACTAGAAGTCATAGTCTCCTGGTTTCTAGCCTGGTGCCTTAAACCACTACACCAAACTGACTCTCCTTACGTTTGCTTACTCACCCAGATTGTATAGATCCTTTTGGAGCTCTTCCCTGTCCTTTATTTCAACCAATCTATTTAATTACTGATATCTGCAAACCTCATGGCTGATCATTAATGGTAAATAATATTTGAACTCCATCTACATTACAGAACTTGGGGGAGAGGTACCCATTGTTTACATACCTCCCTTATGAAACACTTCTTATATTTTAATAGATTGCTAAGAAACACTTTCTATGCCACAACCGCTACATTTGTTCATGAGATTCTGATGGACTTTCTGAAAATCTGAACAAACAGTATCTATTTGGCACACTGAAAATATTCATATCCAACCTCCTTAGCTACCCAAAGTAGCAGATGCTAGAAGTACAACAGCAAAGGAAGATTACGTGAGATCATCCTTAGGCATTGTCTTCTCTAATGCCTCAGTATTTGTATATGTGACCACTCAAAGTGTGACTCAGGAGAAAATCTGTGTTCACCTGCAGTCAGTTCCATCACTCTTATGCACATGCTTGCTGATATTTCTAGGGAACTGTGAAATGTCATTAAGTGGGATTCCTTTTGCAAAAGTTATATTTATTCTTCAGCAAATTTCACTTTTACATGCTTCATAATTCTGTTTATAATTCTGATAACATTATCCATCAATTAATTGGGAAAATGATACTTGGGTATCCAGCCAGTAACTTCACAGATTCCATCTTGGATTTCTTTTACTTATTTTCCAGTCCTTTTATGCCATGCCATAGTAAAGATTTTTCTATGATCACACTTGAGTTGTCTAAGAACTTTCAGACACATGTTAGGAATGCATTCATTTCTATGTGCCTATTATATATAAACTTTTATAACCATTATTTGTCTATTTATTAAATTCTCCTCCTCAAAATCCCAATTCGGTCCTCAGTGTATCTTCTGCAAAGAAGACAAATGCAAGGGTTCCCCGTTCCTATCTCCTTTTACTTAATTGTGACTTGATTTGAACAAAAGTATCATTAAAGAAGGGTTGCAAACTTAAGGTTCCTAACATGAAGGATTTTCTCAGTAAAAAAATAAAATGCACAAAGTCACCTTTCTTCTGCTCTGCTAGTTTGCAAACAGTAGTGCTTTGAATGCTCCTAAACTCTGAAGTCAGAACTCTCCAATACTATATTTAGGACCATTCCTATAAAGGAGTTAAATTAATATTTTAACTACCTTGTCAATTCTAAGAGCTGGTTATATTTTTCAAAGTAAAAAGTACATTCATCCTTTACAGAAGGATAGGAAGTATGGTCATAATACAAACAAGAACCATATTTGAAGCCAAGAGGATATTCATTTTTCAACTTGGATATATAGGGATGTTTCTGAGCTTCTTCTTTACCTCTGAGAAAGAGTAATTTTTTAGACGTGGAGCTAAAGGAATGTCTAGAATGTCACAACAGCATATATGGAGGAAAGATGTAAATGGAGAAATATAGGAAGAAAGTACTGGAATTGATAGTTTTTATTTGCAACTAAGTATCCCAGTTTGTAAAAATAAAATATCCTGATTTTTGTCCATCCAGCACAAAGGGTATCAGTGTTAAACAATATTATTATTATCATTATTATTATATTTTTATCCCACCTTTTAAAAAATATTTGGTCAACTCAAGGCAGCAAACATACCCAACACTCCTTTCTCCTATTTTCCCTACAATAACCCACAACCCTGTGAGGTGGTTTGGGCTGAGAGAGAGAGTGATTGGCCCAAAGGCACCCAAATGGCCTTCATACCTAACATGGCTGTGCATGCTTCAAAAATTCCTTGAAAAGAATGTGGCTGCTTCAAGAATCATAATCATGCTAATGAATTAACTCCTTAAATCAGCTGCATTTTTTTGTGCAAGTTTATTTCAAGTAGCACAAAACACATGGCATATGAATCTTTGAGGAGAGATGTAAAAAGCTACATTTCTCTACAGAGGAATATAGTGATCTATTGTAAAACTGTTATAAAGTGGTAGCAACTATGTTTCTAAAATAGTAAATCAAGAGAATAATCTATTAACATGTAAGAGATCATATGCTAAACAGACTCTTCTACCTCTTATTTTGAGTTGCTGTTCCCTCGTTTCAGTGGGTTAAGGAACTTCAGTCATATGAATGCTTTTACCTTACCTATTACAAAAAATAAAATTGTTGCTTCTATAGATGTCAATTCTTATTAGATACTGTGTGATAAAAGGTAAAGTATAATTTTACTTACATCCTGCAAGTTCTCCCCTACTGTTTAAGCTTCATATAGAAAATATTACTATATTTTAGTACTATATTACTATATTTTAATTACTATATTACTATTATTTCTTCCTCTTTATGATGATGATGCATATACAGCTCCAATTTAATGCCTTGTTTGTTCATGTGAGTAAACATGATATATATTGCTCAGATTACAACTGGAGATAAAAACTGTTCAATCCAAATGCCACTTACACTTACAAAGTGTATTACATACACAGTCCAAATGTGTATGTAATACACTTTGACAGCCACACATCATAGAGACAATATATCTAAAGCTTAAATAGAAATACTGCCTCTTTAAGATGTGACATTAGTATAAGTTCTAATATTTACTGATCATACACACACTGTCCTAATCTTCCTACCGCTGGTTTTTACCTATAGAACCCTACATGGCAAAAATCCCAGATTAGTTTAGAAAGTGTCTACTCCTGATAAGATTTTGCCTCTCCTGGATGATCACTGAGGGAGGTGATATTTAGGGTGCCAGCCCATGAGAGGGAAGGGCCGTATAAACTCAAAGCCAGATCTTCATTTTAGTAGTCATAACATTTGGAACATTTGCCTCCAAAAGTGCATCTGTACCTCTGCTATAAGCCTCTATAAGTAAGTTAAAACAGTCTTCTACAGGCAAACATTAGTTTTAGTGGTGACGCTGCGCTTCCATTTTTATCTTTTGACTCAGGTTTGATAACACAGGTGTTTCTGTGTTTCATGGGCTTTTATCATCTTTTGTTCTGTTTAGTTTTACATCTTTGTCAAGAGCCAAGAATCTTGGGAGAGGAGCAATATGCAGCAAATAAATGACAGATCTCCAGGGTTACATTATTCCAAGCATTAGATACATATGCATTCTATACTATCCAATGGTTTCAGGCTTTCATGAAAGGCAGATGGATGAAGAGCAGATTGCAGGAATCAAAGTTGAAATAGAGTTGATTTAGATTTCATCTAGGTAATCCTCAACCTAAACAAGTAGCATTAATTTACAAGAGACAGAAGTCAGTTCCATGATGGATTTAACTTCAATCCTATACCAGTTTGGTGTAGTGGTGAAGGTGCTGGCCTAGAAAGCAGGAGACTGTGAGTTCTAGGCCTCTCTTAGGCATGAAAGGTGGCTGGGTGACTTCAGGCCAATCGCTTTCTCTCAGCCCAGCCCATCTCATCTCACAGGGTTGTTGTGGGGAAAATAGGAGGCAGGAGCATTAGGTCCGTTCACCGCCTTGAGTTATTTATTAAAAAGGCAGGATGCTGATAATAATAATACTCTGAACACCAGCATTCTGGAAAAGGGTCATCCTTTCCAAAATCAATTGCACTCCATTCTCCTGAACAACTGAGTCTCCTAACAGCTGTACTTTCATTCGGAATTAATCTTATTTGTTTGTTTATTTATTAAATTTGTATGCTGCCCATCTCCCCCAACTTAGTATATACCCAAGCGGTACTCATGCCACATACGGCCAGGAAGCGCAAGAATAGGTAAACCAGGTTTGCGCGTTTTCTTAAAGCATATATACACTAGAACCTCAAGATCCACCAACAGACATACTCTGCAATTTAAACGACTCCAAATCTAGGGTTTGTTCTCTTTCGGTAGCGACATCTGAGGGATCATGGCTGGGCCGCTGCAGAGATGGGAAAAGTCTCTGGCCGGGGGTTCCGACGCTCCGAGAACTGCCGTCGCAATCTATAACTCAGACAAGATGTGCTGAGTTCCACGGCTCGAAACTCCGCCGCTCACGGGGGACTGAAAGCGCACAGGAAATAACGTCACGCTCAACCGGAAGCCGGAAACGTCGGCTGCGGCTGGCGAATGACGGAGGGGCGAGGGGAGCGTCTCCCGAACGCGGTCCCCTCCGCCGAGCCGTCGGGCGGAAGGTCCGCAGGTGAGAGAAGTATCCGTGACAACTCGAAGTTGTTCTGGCGTGGTTCTTGCGGAGGGTGCTTCTAACTCGGTTTCTCAGAGGTTGGGGGAGCGGTCTGGTTTTGGCAGTGCGTGGCTTCAGGTATTCAGAGAAGCGGGAGATGAAACGCTCCCACTTCTTTGAGACCCCGAAACCGCCCTGAGTAGTGTCGGTTTCTGCGTGGGTACAATGACTGTCTTGAAATACTCGGTTTCTTCCCTCTGAATGCCTTCACCCATCTCGCTATTCTCCTTTTACAGCACAACTTCGTGCTTCACGGTGAAAAGGATAAAATCAGTTCAGAAATACACCTATGTGAGGTTAAGCCTCAAATCTTATAAACTAAGGCTAATAAAAATCCGGACAACCGTTGATTAGCAAAGAGTATGAGAATTACCCTTTTAATCCAAGGAAGTGCATGAAATTGATCAAGAAGTTATGCTCTTAGATAGAAAGAGTAATAAAGATGGGTACAGCTAGCCAGACTTTGTGTGTCTATTACCTTTTTTCTTGGCTTTATTTGTGTAAAATGCTGATTGATAAACCGTGGTTAACAAACTGACGTCTTTGTTTAACATGCTAAGCAAAGCCAAATCACATTATGGCTTAAAGTGATGGCCTAGCTTACACAGCATGCTAAGCTTTAAAGCATCTTGTTTGGTTTAGCTTAACCGTTTTCACTGAAAAATTATGGTTAATGGTTTAGCATGTTGTGTGAATCCAGCTATTGAATTTAAATGGCTTAATGCTGAGTGTTTGAAAGTAAAGCCTTGAATCATAAATACGTTTGTGCAACACGTGTTTATTCCAAGGAATCCCAACTGTCCCACTTTTCCCACAGATGGTTCACACCACTTTCGTCCTAAATTTCCAGATTAAAGTCTGAAACCCTTGAATATCTGTGCTTGCAAGACACACTATCCTCACATGTGGTATGAACCAATTCCAGGCGACTGGTTATAGTGTAGTCTGTTATATGAACCAGAACATTGGGTTAATTTGGTGGGCCATGGTTAAATTACTTATAATGGAGCATGGCATGCAAACAAAAGCTGCAAATCCTGCATTCTAAGCGTGGCTGTCAGGTGTTGGAAGTTGTGGAAGCAGTCACTAATCCAGATTGCGTAAGAAGGACAGTTTCCCCACTAAGTCTTTGCTGATGTTAACATAATTTGTTTAAACAGATTTTAATATCAGAATTTTTTTTCACAACTTCTGTAACTAATTTGGTTGATGTAGAATTCACGTTTTCGTTCTGGTTTGATACTTGTGCAGTCTTTCTCCCCCCCATCATTTATGGAATTAATGGAGAAAATGGCTGAGCATTTGATGGGGGGAAATCCTCAACTCTGCAGTTTACTTGACTTTGAAAATTACATATAGCTAATATTTTTACTGGTTACTTCTAAGGTTTTTTTTTGTAGCAGTGAATCCACAAGTGAGTAATAATCCATATATAGGTGATTAAGTAGTTCCATAGCAGTATACTGGAGGAAGAAAATATTTTCCTTAGCACATTAAGAGTTGTCTCAGATATCTGATCTTAATATGAAATCAAGTTATTCCACTGTGTATGTGGATGAGCAAGTGGGGGATTAGTTTCATTACTATGCTAAGATCTTTTATTATAGTGGCAATAGGCAATATATTAACTATTAAAATGTCTTTCTTTGTGAGGAAAATATTAACAAGATCAAGGAGCTTTCTGAAGAAGATCTGCACTATATTAACCAATTGAGGCAGTGATAGAGATTTCTTTAATGATATATATTATAGAATTGTTTATTTTTTAAATAAATACATAAAACAATGTACTAGTTATTTATGGAGCTTATTAATGGGTGCATATTATGTTCATGTGACAGGTTTTTAGAAAAAAAAGAAAAGTCACTTTTAACAAAAGTTGGAAAGCAGCTTGCATGGGAAGGTTGAGTAGCAAATTATGTGCTGCCTTTTAGGCTTGTCTTATAGTTTATTTCTCATTTATGTATAAGATTTTACATAAATCTTATGTAAAATTTATTTATTCTGATTGTCTTTTTGGAATTGCATGCAGTTCTGGCCTATTACTGCAGTAAAGATTTGATTGATGGTTGCTGGGGCAATCTAAGTGGTTCTTTTTTTCTCAGTGTGTGGTAAATTGAAAATTCTCTGGGGAAGAGAATAGGATTCACCACAATTAATTACAGTGTGTTTAATTGAGTATAATTAGAGAGCCTTAATTTAAAGCATGAATGTTTTCTAATTGAAAAAAATGGCAAGACTCTCAATATTTTTTTTTAAAAAACCCTAAGCTTTTATTTTACTGCAAACCATTATTGAAATCTCAAATGACATAAATTGAAATATAACTGGGAAAATTTAGTAATGGTTTGTGAGTTAATTTTATTACTTGCATATATTTAGAGAAGACATCTGTTTCAGCCCCTGAATATGTTGTACAAAATATTTCCCCATATGGTCTGCTTACCCACTTCTGCTTTGCCATTTTGAATTTCAAGATCACTTTGTGATCTGGTGCCAGTTTTTAAGTATAAATTTTCATGTATCATATTGGAAGGATTTGTACAATATAATACTTCTGTTCCCTCCTTTAGAATTCAAATGAGAATCACAAGTCAGACTTTTGCTTATATGTACTTCAGGAAAGCATTACTTGATGTATGTTGATGTCCTGCTTCAAATAGATAAATTCAACATGTGTGCAGCTTATATTTGGAAAAAGTAGTTTTCAGGTAAGTGAAACCTGAAAAAATATTTGTAGATTGGGTCTCCATTTCTTGCCTAAAACTGCACAAATCTTATGATAGATGTCTAAAATTCAAAACCGTGCCAAATGTCATTGAGCTTTCCAATTTTTATATCCAGTTGTGTAGCCTGGTACTGCACTGCAGGCAGAATCCTTAAATCTCCCTTTTCCACCTCTATAAACTGAGCTTCACCAAGAGGCAATGATGTGCCCTCTCCTAAATATATATATATATCATGATCTGATTGTGTTGGATAGCTTTCACCTAGTCTCCAATCAAACTGAATAAGGAAACTAAATGGTTCCCAGAGTCTAAGACCCGCTCCTTCGGAGAGAATAACAGATTTATCCTTGTACTTAGTAGATTTATGAATTGATAATTTGTGAACTGTTTAGAGTCTCTGAATAAGAGGGATATGAATTTTGTAATAAATGTAAAAAAAATAATGTAGGAAGATATTTTTCATTTTGCTTGCTTTACATTTAACTGAAGTGGCTTATATAAGTACAAAACTATTTTCAGTTTACCATAATTGTATGAATAATGTACGCTGAGATTATATAGTAAAGCAGGTAGTCCTTGACTCAGACTTTAGCTTGGCTATACATTTGCGATGTGGCTTTGGGAAGGTTGCTATTTATTAGCCTTGGTCCTCTGTTTGTAATATGTGGAAAATAATTACTTTGCAGATTTCCAAGGAGGATAGTGTGTAGTTTGTTGCACTGTAAGACTATGCTCCATATATCTACAGCTTGAGAACCACAGAGGCTCATAAATTAGCTTGAAGATGCCACAATATGACTCTTGTGGTGTTGTTTTAACCTTACAGGGTAATTACAAGGATTTTTGAGGAAATATGTGTGAATTACTTGAAATGGTCTTAAATGAGTACATGTGCAGTTGATAATTTAGGTTTTCCTATTTGGGATAGAAAATGGGCTATTTTTTGGTCTGCTTTAGCAAGAAATCATAAACCTAGATAGGAACCTCATATGTCCAGTATGATATTGGAACCAGAAGCTAAATAGTAGTAGATGACAATCAAAATTTGGGATGTATACTTGCTTTGGGGATATATTCAATGTGGCCCATGTTGTTACATATCCTATTGGCTTTGTGGTCTGTTCTCATAAAGCTGATACTCTATGAGACAGAGTTCCAGAATAATAGATATATAAAGCAAAAGTCAGAAGTGCTTTAAAAAAAAAGAAAGCAGAAATTGGAGATGAGAATGGAAATATCTATGTAATATTTATTTTTTATCAGCAAACATGTTTTACTGGTTTAGTAATAAAATATTCCCTTTTAATTTTTCTTTATATGTATTCTACAGAAGCTTGTGGGAAGGTGGCTTATTTCATTATGTGTGCGTCAGTCAAATACAACACTCGGGGTCCAGCCCTCATCCCAAGAATGAAGACCAAACATCGCATCTACTACATTGCTCTCTTTTCTGTTGTGCTACTGGGGTTAATTGCCACTGGCATGTTCCAGTTCTGGCCTCACTCCATTGAGTCCTCAAATGAGTGGACCCTTGAGAAGCGCAGCATTCATGATGTACCTGTAATCAAGATTCCTGCAGAAAGTGCCATTCCAGAACGAGGAGATCTTAGCTGCAGGATGCACACATGTTTTGATGTTTATCGCTGTGGCTTCAATCCCAAAAATAAGATCAAAGTCTATATTTATTCCCTAAAGAAGTATGTGGATGAATATAACATGCCAGTCAGTCATACCATTTCCAAGGAATACAATGAACTATTAACTGCTATTTCTGATAGTGACTTCTACACAGATGACATCAATCGTGCTTGTCTATTTGTACCATCTATTGATGTTCTGAACCAGAACACACTGCGCATCAAGGAAACAGCTCAGGCTTTGGCACAATTATCCCGGTACCTACCTAGAGAAAACTTATAGTAAATTTCAGAGCTAAAACAGGAAGTCAAGAAAAGGAATTATGAAAAAATGTGATAGTGAAGTTATGAATATCATTTTAGCTTTTGATGTTGAAGAACAGTCTTAATTACTGAGTGGCCTTTCCTCCCAAAGATTAATAATTAAGGCTGTGATCCTATACCCATACACTAGAAATAAGTTCAGTTGGACTCTTATGATTTGTTTCTTAATAGTTTTGTATAAGATTGCAAACAGGCTAATTGTTGGTGCAGAAATCAGAGGAACGGGGATAGCTGGGATATTTTAATTTTTGTTAGCTGTTTTATTTTAGAATTGCTTTGGGGTTTTATTTATGTCCAACATTCAAGTACCTGTTCTGTGTTGTGTTCAGATTTTTTTTTTTCATTTCCTTTATCTTTTTAGTTGGGATCGAGGCACGAATCATCTCTTGTTCAATATGCTGCCTGGAGGAAGAAGCAACAGTTAGAACCAGTCATGGAACAACCGATTGGTTCAAAATAGAGAAAGGAGTATGACAAGGCTGTATACTGTCACCTGCTTATTTAACTTATATGTAGAGTACATCATGAGAAATGCCAGGCTAGAAGCAACAGTTAGAACCAGTCATGGAACAACCGATTGGTTCAAAATAGAGAAAGGAGTATGACAAGGCTGTATACTGTCACCTGCTTATTTAACTTATATGTAGAGTACATCATGAGAAATGCCAGGCTAGAAGCAACAGTTAGAACCAGTCATGGAACAACCGATTGGTTCAAAATAGAGAAAGGAGTATGACAAGGCTGTATACTGTCACCTGCTTATTTAACTTATATGTAGAGTACATCATGAGAAATGCCAGGCTAGAAGCAACAGTTAGAACCAGTCATGGAACAACCGATTGGTTCAAAATAGAGAAAGGAGTATGACAAGGCTGTATACTGTCACCTGCTTATTTAACTTATATGTAGAGTACATCATGAGAAATGCCAGGCTAGAAGCAACAGTTAGAACCAGTCATGGAACAACCGATTGGTTCAAAATAGAGAAAGGAGTATGACAAGGCTGTATACTGTCACCTGCTTATTTAACTTATATGTAGAGTACATCATGAGAAATGCCAGGCTAGAAGCAACAGTTAGAACCAGTCATGGAACAACCGATTGGTTCAAAATAGAGAAAGGAGTATGACAAGGCTGTATACTGTCACCTGCTTATTTAACTTATATGTAGAGTACATCATGAGAAATGCCAGGCTAGAAGCAACAGTTAGAACCAGTCATGGAACAACCGATTGGTTCAAAATAGAGAAAGGAGTATGACAAGGCTGTATACTGTCACCTGCTTATTTAACTTATATGTAGAGTACATCATGAGAAATGCCAGGCTAGAAGCAACAGTTAGAACCAGTCATGGAACAACCGATTGGTTCAAAATAGAGAAAGGAGTATGACAAGGCTGTATACTGTCACCTGCTTATTTAACTTATATGTAGAGTACATCATGAGAAATGCCAGGCTAGAAGCAACAGTTAGAACCAGTCATGGAACAACCGATTGGTTCAAAATAGAGAAAGGAGTATGACAAGGCTGTATACTGTCACCTGCTTATTTAACTTATATGTAGAGTACATCATGAGAAATGCCAGGCTAGAAGCAACAGTTAGAACCAGTCATGGAACAACCGATTGGTTCAAAATAGAGAAAGGAGTATGACAAGGCTGTATACTGTCACCTGCTTA